ACTTAAAGGTGGTGTGGGGGGTATTTTGACAAACCCGTGTAGTTTAGAGGGTGGTTTGCAAAAAAATAAAGTTCATATGGTGATGCGCCATTTTCGCGAAAGTTCAAATGGAAAAAAGTTTTTTTCCCTTTTAAATATTATTTTATTATATCCACTAACAACTAACCATACCTACTTTTTCAAATTTAACCAACCCAAATCAAAACAAAAACAAATTTATATCCAAGCATGCTCTTAATAGTCCAGCAGCTTTTGAAAAATAAAGATTTAGTACCGTCGTGTCCCATTACATCACAGAGGTCGCCGGCGTGAGACGGCTGCGCCATAGGCGAAACTGTCGCGTTTTCTTGAAAACCTACATCAGACATAGCGAAAATGTATTATGGTCCATCGCTCTCGAACACGTTCCTCAGCATCTGGAACTTCCTCCCCGGAGCCTTCATCATCTTCACCCACCGTCGACCATGACAGCAGCACCAGTAGAAGCAGAAGTCCGCCTTCAGGACCACGGCTGTCGTACCTTGTTTTCGGTGGAAAGTCCTGTCGAACAACGCAATAGCCTCACCGATCAAGTTCTCAACGACGATCAGGATTCCAACATCTCGAGCTGATCTTTGTACATAAATGGTCGATCTATTTTTCCATGAATCGAGTTTCATAATCTTCTATGAGTGGATCAATTTTTATTGGTTGGAGAGGAAACTAATCCCTTGACCAATATAACTATGTTTTGTAAAGCGGATAGCCGATAAACTAGTTTATAGTTATATAAGTGAGTTTTGAGTTTATAGTTCATGCTATAGCTGAAAAATTATCTTATATGATAAAAGTATTTGGTAAAATTAGTTCATAAGTTAGCTGAAATAAAAATTGCAATGAGCTTATTTAAAAAGCTACCCAAAGAAGCTTATGAGATAAGCTCGAGCTTATGAGATAAGCTCGAGCTTTTTAAAAAAGCTCGTCTTACCAAATGAAATTTATTTGAATACAAGAACTTTATAAACTAACCAAAAAAATTATAAGTTAACTTTTTTTTTTTTTTTTGTCTAGTTTGTCTTATTGTTGTGTCTTTGTGTTGGAATGTTCAGCCCTTGGTTAATCTTAAGGTCTATGCAATTTGGTAGTCCATGTGACAGAATTTAATCATTCAGTTTGTCTTGTTTGTGTTGTATTATACTTGTTGCGGATTAGTCCTTCGATTTTCCGTGTTATCACAAGGGAACGTCTCTATTTATTTTCTTTCTTAAAGTATTTATTATCATTTGAAAAGAAAATAAAAAATAAAAAATAAAAAGAAAGAGAGAAAAATAACATAATTTATGAATCCGATGTATTGAACCCATAATTCAGTAGAGTTGTTATGACTGTCAAGTGAGCACAGTAGTAAGTAATTTTTTTTTTCCTTCTTCCTAAGGGGATCAATACAGGTTCCCCAATTCCCCTCGGGTGACTCGAACTCGGAACATGGTACACGTCGAGCGAAAATACGCGCCACTGCGCTAACCCCTTTTCGTCCACAGTAGTAAGTAAATTGCTCTATAGACGTTAAGTAAATTGTTTTCCTTCTTCCTAAGGGGATCAATACAGGTTCCCCAAAATCTATCATTTTGTATGTCGTTAAGTGGAGAACTGATCCAAGAATTCTTTTCCTCTACAGCAACAAATATATATTCTATTAACATGTCTAAGCTACATACAATACTGACCTAAAAAAAATTAAAAAAACAGACAAGCAAATGAAAGTAAACTAACTCATTTAGGAGTTGGGCCATATCCCAGTTGCTTCAGCCCACAATATGTATGAGAGAAAGAGAAAAGAGCTAAAAACGAACGGCCCATTGGGACGCATCAAGCGCCGGAATCGAGGAGATCCCGTCCCCGACGACGGGTATACCGTGCGCCGGCTCCACCATCGACTCCCCTTCGCTGCTCAAGAAATCCCTCGAGCCCAACGGCACGGATGCCCTCTCGTGGCCCGAGGGCATGTGGTGGGCGCCACCACCAAACGGCAAGGAGACGACCCCACTCGAGAATTCCCCACCAACCGGGTGGAGGCCCCCCGGAGGCACCTCGCCGCCCGGGAGGAATCCCACCGCCGGAGGGAACTCGACGTGGTGGTCCCCGCCGCCGCTCGGTGGGGGGTCCTCGTCATTCGCGTCGGGCACTGGGTGGGCCCCACGGTTGGTGAGGTCCCTCCACTGCTGGGTCACGGTTTTCGTCCGGGTGTAGAATTGGATTCCGGTCTTGCCTGCAGTTCGTGAAAACACCAAATTCTCATGTTAGACAGATCGACCCGTAGGTCGTACATTTGTAGCAATAATGGCATGCTTTTTGTTTATGTTGTTTTGTAGAATGACATTTCGGTTTGCAGCTACTGTTATGAAACGTCGTACTTCTGTTACAAAGGTATGACGGGTCTACCCGTCAGAAGTATGCATACTTATTGAAAAGTATTTCACCGAAAGAAATATGCCGTTGAGGGCGAGTTTGTATTTAGCGTGTTTACCATAAATATTGATATCTCCGGTAAACGAAGCTTTGGAGCCGGCAAACGAGAACAAAGGCAATGGGGCTGCAATGGCTACGTTCACACCAATCTGAAAACGAAAAAAAAAAATCTATTAAAGCACAACTGTTTTCATGTCAAAAAGATCAAAAAGGAGTCGACAAAATCTGCCGATGGACACGATAAAGCCATACGACACACAAAAAAAAAAGGAAAAAATATAATAAACAGAATTTCTAATAACAAAAATGAAATTTACTGTAAACAAATTCAGTAGTTTCCTAAAGAAACAGTTAATCGACGTCGTCAAAGAAAACTTGCCTGCCCAGACTCGATCTCAAACTGAAATTTCTTTGCAGTGGCATATGAAGATGTAAAAATGGAAGCTCCATTTCCATTTCTGCTCAAAATATTTAAAAAAAATAAAACAAAATTATAGAAATAAAGTCGACGCCGATAATTAAATAATATTACTATGTACTAATGACCAAGAAAGACCATGTACTTGTTTCTGTTGACAATGCCTATTGCCTCATCTAAGCATGTAGCCTGAGAAAGGAAATTGCATTATCGAGAGAGCGTTTAGCTTAATTGAATATAAACCTCAAAGGGTATATCTGTAACTTCCCAAGTACTATGTACCAAAACAGGAATGTATCGTAGATATATACGAACCTTCATGCAAAGAAGAACCGGACCCAATATTTCTTCCTGTGTACATCAAATCATCATATTTAGTTCCATAAATCGAAATCTAGTCTCTCATGCGTTAAAAGCAAAATATATACCTTGTAACAAACCATGTCCTCTCTTACATCAGTTAAGATTGTCGGCCCAACAAAGTTCCCACGCTCAAACCCGGGAACCTGCAAAATTAGACAGCATAACAAAACAGAGAAATATATAAATATATTAGTATAAAAAAAATCATAATATATGTACTTCTAGTAGCAAAAAGGAAAAAAAAAAAAAAAGG